GGCTGCGGTTCAAAAAAAGGCGGAAACCGCTCCTTTTCCAGCCCCAAATCCTCCTAAAAAGCGCTTTTCTCCTTCTAAGACTCCATCGCTATGGAAAAAGCTTCGTTTTTCATGGAAAAAAGCTTTGAAGTTCCTTCCCGGGGCTTCTTTTTATGAGCTGCTGCAAAGTTTTTGTGTTGTCCGAAAGGGTTTTGGGGTGCATGCGGGCGCCGTGGCAGCTCTGCGGGAGGGCTGCGAGGCTCATCTCTTGGCTTTGCTGGAGGAATGGGGGTTGTGCGCGCTCCACGCCAAGCGATCCAGCGTCCGAACTGCTGATGTGAGTCTTGTGAAGTGCCTTCAGGTGAAAAGAGGCTGAATTTGCCCCACCCCAGCTTGTTGAAGTAGATGGAAAATTGAGTTTTTTGTTGTTTTGCTTTCGTTTTCTTTGCTTGGACTCTTAAATTAAACTTCTATAAAGCTTTTCAGGGGAAAAGCAGAAGGAAAAAGAGTATTGGAAGCTTGTGGGAGTAGGAAACTGTGGAGAAACACTTTGATTTATGCTTGTGGTGTGAAGTATCGCCGGACTTTGCTCTTTAAACAGCTCGTGTTTTGAGGGTGATGTCACCTTGCTGTGAACCAAACGTGGAAATGACTAATACCAAACCAAGCCAGGCTGTAATTTGGGTTTAACACCAACCTACAACGTTGTGGGTTTGTCAGAGCCCTTCTTTAAAGCTGCTGCTGCCCGAAGATCAAGCAGCTGCCTTCCCTGCGGCTTTTCCTGGTGGTTTCTCCTCTTCTTCGGGCGAAGTCACGAGTCTCTGCAGACACGGGGGAGGAAAGTCTGGCAGCGGAGGCGGAGCGATTGGGGCTGGAAGAGGTACAGACCTGCCCGGTCCTGCCTGTGCTGCCTGATAACAGCTCTTTATGATGTGGTTTAACCCTCATAACGACTTGCTGCTGCCTCAAGATACCGCTTTTGTTTCTTTTTTTCCCCTTTCATTCATTTCTAGGGGGATAAAATCCCATCCCTGGCCTCTCTCCCTGCTCGGATCCCGGCAGGAATTGTAAAACCACAGGGAGGCCCCAGCCTGAGTGATCCTGGGAGGAGCAAGAAGTGTTTTTTTTTTTTTCCCTTTTCTCCTAAATTCTTTGCATATGTTAACCAGAAACTTCTCTGTTCTCTGAGGAGTCTACCAGAAGTGGTATAAGCCCCTTTTCTTCCCTAAATTGAGTTCTCTTTTTTATTTTTAGGGCTGTTCTCCCTGTTTTTCTGGATTTTGTTTGCTTTGACAAACAGCCAGGGGGTAAAAAAAAAAAAAAAAAAATCTTTCTATTCTCCTATGGAGGATATTTCTTCAGCGGGGAAAAACAGCTTGATGGGGGGGAAAAGTCCCAACAAAAAACATTAAATTGGCTGGGGGGGGATGTCAGGGGGGTGGAAAGGGCTGGTTTGGGGGGATTCAGGGGCTGTTTTTGGGGCTGGTGATCCCATGCAAAGCCCAGGGCAGATGCTCTGGTGAAATATTTGGCGCTAGAAGCTCCAGTATAATTCGCAAAACCAGGAAGGGGAGTTTAAAGGGAAATAAAACCCCACCGGTAACCCTCAGCACCTGAATCTGATGTGAAAAGTATGGAGCAGAGGGGAAAAAATAGCCCACGTGATTATTAAAAAAAAAAAAACACTAATCAGGAGTTATTAAAGTTGTGAATAAGGCTGATAAATCCCTCAAGTTGCATATTATAAAAAAAAAAAACCATGGTTGTTAAGCCCTAAATTAATCCGTTTTGGCTTTTCCCCAGGAAAACCAAGTTGCATATTATAAAAAAAAAAAAACCCATGGTTGTTAAGCCCTAAATTAATCAGTTTTGGCTTTTTCCCAGGAAAATCCCAACCCCTTCCCTAAGGAAATGAGAGCCGCTGCCAAACTCCCCCATCCCCGCTTGCAACGAGGCCAAAAATAGGCAAAAACGCCGCAAAAAACCTCGTTAATAGACCCGGATCCGCCCCTAAGCGAGGTGGGGCCGGCGGGAGGAGCCGAGCTTCGCGACAAGAGAGCGGATCGAAAAGGTTCGTTCTCACT